TCCTTAAATTTTCTGTTTCTGTCATCTGTAAAATGGAAATGAGGAGAGCAACGATGTCATCATTACTCATAGTCGTGGGTACTAAAGGAGTTCATCCCAACAAAGTTCTCAGAATAAGTGTCTTGCACAGTTAAGTCATCAATAAACATCAGCTGTTTTTATTATCCTGTTTGATCTTATCCATGGGGCAGTCTGTGGAAATGACGAAGCAAACATCGGGCCCGCCAAATGCTTCATTCCAAGGGGTGACCCACGAAAGTGGCATTGGGGAACAGCCTCTACCTGTTCACTGCAGGAGTGACTGGGACTCAAGAATCCATCTGGGCAGGCTTTGTGTGCATTTGCACTGTTGCCACCTGCACCTCTGGAGAGTCTGGACAGGCCCAAGCTGAGGCGGAGTCCCAGGTACAGGGCCAAATGGGAACCGATACACTCTGACTGCAGAGGTGAGGACTTTTCCAAACCAGGCCTTCAGGAGCAGCCTGCGGTGCGAGGGAGACTTCTGGAAGCACCACAGACTCTCCCAGGACATTGCAAAAAGGGCCTGGCACTTGGCATATTTTTGCTTGGTTCTCCAGGCCCCTTGTCCTGGAGGTTCTGACATTTCTATTCCCTGGTAAGAGGGAAGAGCAGGGCAAGAAGAATGGGAACATGGGGAGGTTCACCAAAGCTCCCTCTCTGACACAAGCCCTGATGGATGGGCATGTGCCCTCACACCAGATGCCTGGCTAGGGCTGTGTGGTGAGTAAGGTGTGGTGGGTCCTGAAAGACCCAGTCCTTGGGCAGCAGTACATTGGTGGGGAGTAGGGTTCTCCAGCCTCAGCAGTCAGAACAGCATATTAGAAAACAGCCTGGATGGGAATCTTGGCACACACACTACTGGCTGACTAGCCTGGGATAAATCACTTCACCTCACGTTTGTGAACCTCCATGTCCATTCTGAAAAAATGGGTACTGTCACCTCTGCCTCCCCAGGAGGCTGAAAGGTTTGAGAGAGATCATGTGTGTGAAAGTAAGGGCATATTTTTATTTAACAGTTCCCAGGCACTGCTGGAGACAGAATGACAGAAAGGTCACTGTGCTGGGTGACAGGGTTTGATCCAGAACTACTCTCCAGCCCCCTCTACTCTCCTGCTCTCAAACGTACCTTCTTTTCCAAGCAGACTGACTGCCCTTGGGCTAAGGTATTCCTTACTTCCTTGCCATGGCATTTGCCGTTGCCACTGCCTGAATTGCCTTGTCTCCTGTGCCACTTGACAAATGGCAAGACCATCCTCTTTCCCTGGTCCCCAAAAGAATGAGCGCCCTGCCCCTCTAGCTTGGGCATTCACCCTCTGAGCCTGGACTGCCTAGGCCCCAGCCCATGGCACCAGCACTCAGGAAGGGCTTGCCTCCCAGTAGGGCTAAAGCTGCAGGAAAAGGGACAGAGGAGGGGGCAGTCCCCAGTCCCTGGGCCTCCCTATGACTTAAGCTCTCCTTGTCTTGGAAAATTCAGGGCCAGCAGAAGGAAGTTCAGAGTCCCAGCACTGTCTGAGGCAGACCTGCACCCTTTCTCAGGCCTAGGACTCTTCTTGATTTCATGTAAGAAAGGCTCTGCCCAGCCTAGGCCACGGCCTGAGCCCCATGGGAAGCTGGGACCTCACTGAGTCTGCTCCCGGGCAGTCTGCGGCTGGTGGCCATGTCCAGGAGCTTTTGTAGCCTGGCTCCTAGGGGCATTCTGAGGAGCTGTGAGAGAGGCTGTGTGGCAGAAGACACAGAGGGGGAGGAAGAGGAAATGGCCCCCTTCCCTGGCTGGCCTGACAGAGAGCTGTGGAGGACCTCCTTCCTGTGAGGGACTGGGCCCAGTGCTCAGACCTCTGAACCTCCCATCTCCCCAAACCACAGCCCAAAGGTGTGAAAGAAAGAAAAAAAACAGGGGGATGGGTGGCAGAGAAGAGACAGGTGCAGAGTTCACACCTTGACCACAGGTGGGGCCCAGAGCAGCTTCACTTTGACTAACTTCCTCCTCATGCTTCCCCACTGTCTGCTCAGGAAGGCAGAAGTGGGGGTGGAGGGGGCGGGGAATGCATCTACCAGAACTCCGAGGGCAGGACACCCCAAGGGCCAGCCTGCCTCTGACCTGGTCTGGAGGCTGCTTGGGCGAGGAGAGGACCAATTGAGAGGGCCAAAGGCTCCACTCGACACTGGTATAAAGGCACCTTCCAAGACGATTGAGCCAAGAAAAACAGAAGTCCGCCACAGACCCGCCTTTCTGAGGACTGGGAGGGGCTGGTTTGGAAAGTTACTAGAAGAGGAGGAAACTGCTGCTCACCGGGCACCTAGCCTGGGCCAGACACTTTCTGCGTGTGTCGTTTGCAGTGTGCAGAGCAAGCTCATCACTTGTATACTGCCTTTTTTCATGGAAGTATAGTTGATGTACAATACTATATTGGTTTCAGGGGTATAACACAGTGGTTCGACAGTTATCTAACATGCATACTGCCTTTATCCTGACTTCTCAGGAGAGGAAACCAAGGCGGAGAGGTGAAATGATTTTCCTGAGCTTACACAGCTGGGCGGCCAAAAGATGAGGCCAGCCCACACCCACAGGCCCCACAAGGCAGCACCTCTACCCCCAGCTCCTCTGCCCCCAGACAGGAAGGGCTCCCAGTGACTCTAGGGTGGCCACCCATCTCCCCCTCACTCAGCACTAAGAGCAGGGGCCCATGCTAGAGGCCTTACGGCCTCGGTTATCTCAGTTCAGTTCATCTTATAATAACCCTCTCAAAACAGTTATGCCATTTGTCCAAGGTCACACAGTTGGACAGGGTAGAGTCAGAGCTGGAGCCAGACAAGTTCAACACTCTTCCCACTGCACCACAGCCACATGGGGAACAGCGAGAGCAGCTCATTCTGCAGCTCAGGCTGGCCTGTCAGGGTACAGCCCCACTCAGAAAGAAGAGCTCTGCACCTTTGCAAACCTCTGGTCTGACCTCCTCTCATTTCTCCTGCTCAGGAATCATTGTCCCCATGTGGCAAATGAGGACACTGGGGCACAGGAAGGAGACTAGGGGGTCCCTAGACTTTGAAATTTCACAGGGACCCATAACATTCCAACATCTATTTGGAGGGCCCACATTGATTGGTCAGCCTTTGCCAACACAAGGTATTTCCAAAACCCTCAGCTCTTTTCACCATCATTTCATATAGAAAAGATCTTTTTAAAACCAAAAAGGGGATGAAGGGCATAACTGCAGAATACAGACCCTCCTTTAATTGGAACGAATAGAGCTGTGGTCATCTGTCCTCACTTCTTTGAGTATAGAAGCCCAGTGAATGGAAACTAGTCCAGACCAGCCTCAGGAAACCATGGACCCCCCTCCCGCCCCTCTTGCTCACCCCACAGCCAGTCAGGTACCAAGTTCCACCATCCTAACCACTTGGCTTCTGGAATCCCCCTGGGCCCCTCCACTCGCACTGCTCCTGACCTCCTCCAGTTCCTTGGTTCCCTCTGGCCTGGACCCTGCAAGTGACAAGCTGTTGAGAACAAGGATAGTCACATGTTCTGACCAAAGAAAGTGGGGAAAGTCTTTGTTGGCTCACAAGTCTTGTCAAGAAGTTTGAACTGAATTCCAGGCCTCAGCCTGGAAGCTCTGGTGAAGCACTCTGGCAGCAAACTGGACACCAAAGCCATGGACTAGCATGGTCTTTGTGTCCACCTCCCTCTCCTTTTCATCTCAGGGGTAGGGAAAGGAAAAGAGGAAACTGCTTGGGAGAGGCAAATTAGGAGGACAGAGTGATGGGAGGGGAGAAGGGTGTGGAGTGGGGAGCTAAGGACTAAGTCAGGAGGAGAACTGTCATATTGGGCAGCCATAGAGGGGACTTTGCTCCACAAACAAGCTGTACAGATTTTCCTCGAAGTTCAGGAGGTGCTTTCTCTCAAAAGCACCCAACCCAAGTACTCTCCAAAAGTACTCATCCCCAACCCAAGTCTCCTTCTTGCCCCAGAAGCACCTACTCTCATGAATTCGTGGTATCTCCAGTCCCTGTTTTGAACTTCCACAACAAATAGCTGTATTCAAAGCAATATGGTATTGTTTTTTGCATGTGGTTTTTAGAATTTACATAAGTGGTGTGAGACTCTACACATTATTCTATAACTTTCCTCTTCCATCATGTGGTCATTGGCTTTTCTAGATGCATCCCTGTTCATTTGTTTATAACTGCATGAATATATCATAGTTTATCTGTTAAAAACCCATGCAGATGGTGTGATGAGTGGTTAAAGGGGAGTGAGACAGTGGCAGGTTCAACCCTAGCACCCACTCTTACTTGCCATGCCTGGGGAAGGCCTTTCCCCTTTCTGGATTAGCCAGAGGGACAACCCCCCACCCCACAAGGGATCTTTGTGACTGGAATGAGGCAGTGGCAGAGAAAGCACCTAATGTAACATCTGGAACAGAGCTTGGCAAGCTCATTACTAGCTGTTCCCTTTACTTGCCACTCTTGGTTCACAGGGAGGGGCAAAAGGAGGGACCAGATTTAGTGTGATAGATTTCTTTAAAATATTTTCATTATTTTAAGAAGGTTAATCTCCTTTACAGACTTAACACACTTAGTGACTCAGTCTACAATTATGCAAAGATGAACCCCAGCCCAAGAGAGAGGAGCACAAGTTCCAATTTATTGAGCACTGACTGCACCAGGGTGGGAGAAGCCGTTCTGCACCCTGGCGGCAGGGATGTCCTTGCCTTCCCAGCAGCTCTGCTTCACTTTCAAACCTCTCCCCTCAAGGGACCTGCCCCTGCCCTTCCCTAGGCTCCAGGTTTTTTGGTCCCAGGCTTGTGGCCAGCTCTTCCAGGGCAGCTTCCCCCAGCCAGGGGCCTGGCTGGGAAAGGAACTCCAATGGGTCTAGGGAGGTCTGCTATAGATAACCCCATGGAAGAGGCTGCTGTGAGAATCATGTGAAACCCTCACTTCCTCTGTGTAGTATAGGTTTCCAACCACAAGCAGCAGAGCAGAGGGGCAGGCAGCACGCAGCCAGGCAGCCAAGAAGCCACCAGCCCAGCCATGGTCCCTGAGGTAAGTGCTGTTGCCCAGCCAGGTCAGACCACAGCTCAGAGTGCAGAGCCCAGGACACTGGGGGAACGTTGGGGCTGGAGTACAAGCCAGAGCCACCAGAGGTTTGGGTGAGGAAGTCGAGATTGTAGGGGTGTGGCAGGAGCCCCAGATGAGGAATTGGGAACCCAACTTGGCCACCAACTTTCAGATGACCACAGGTGGGTCCCCTCCCTCTCTGGCTCTGGTGCCTCAGGTGGTACTTACAGGAGGTAGAGGCACACCCCCAACCGCCTCCAAGGCTCCCTTCCCTTCTGACTTTAAACTTTGACTCTTCAGTGCTGGACTGAATTGGCATTGTGGGGGCATGCAGCTCTGGGGTGGTTTGTGGAGGAACGGGGTAAGGAAAATTTCTGGGAGAGTTTGGTGGGGAAGTCCCCAGTGGGTAGCAGGCCTCAGTGTAGGGAGGGGAAGAATAGGAGCAGAAAGCATGTGTTGCGGGGGTGGAGGGAGCAGAGGTTTGTAAAGGGGCCCCCCAGCTGGGGGGGAGGGGAGGAGGTGCAGGAAGTTGGGGTCCCCAGACAAGGGCTGAGGAGGGAAAGGAGGGGCCAGTGACTGGGCGTGAGGACTGTGGCGAGGCACCCGGGAAAGAAGGGGGTGGAACTAGGTGTGGTCAGGACACTGAGGAGAGAGGAGAGAGGGCAGGGAGAGCCCCTGGGCAGCTCTTCCTCCAGCCACAGTCTGAGATGGTCCAGAGGGTAAGAGAGGCAGCCTTTGAGAAGGGAAGTTACCATGGGGGCCCAGGCTGGGCAGGTGGGGTTTAGGAGGTGTGGCCTTGGAAGAAAGGAGGGGAAAGTTACAGGGTGTAGCCAAGGCCCGGGGCAGGGGCAGGAGCCAGTCGCCCCCAGGAGCTGCTCTGGGAAAGGCTCCTCCGACTAAATCTCCACGGAGTGGTTGTCAGGCCTTGACACAGCCCATTCCCTTAACAGATGAGCGAGCGCCAAGAGTTCCAAACCTCAGATCTTGTCCTCTTCCTGGAAAACTGTAGCTCTTCATATGACTACGGAGAGAATGAGAATGACTCCTGCTGTGCCTCCCCACCCTGCCCCCAGGACTTCAGCCTGAACTTTGACCGGGCTTTTCTGCCAGTGCTTTATGGCCTCCTCTTCGTGCTGGGGCTGCTGGGCAATGGCGCCGTGGTGGCCGTGCTGCTGAGACAGCGGGCAGCCCGCAGCAGCACCGACACCTTCCTGCTCCACCTGGCCGTGGCTGATGCCCTCCTGGTGCTGACCCTCCCACTCTGGGCAGTGGACACAGCTGTCCAGTGGGTCTTCGGCTCCGGCCTCTGCAAAGTGGCAGGTGCCCTTTTCAACATCAACTTCTACGCAGGGGACCTCCTGCTGGCCTGCATCAGCTTTGACCGGTACCTGAGCATTGTGCATGCCACCCAGCTCTACCGCCGGGGGCCCCCAACCCGTGTGGCCCTCACCTGCGTGGTTGTCTGGGGCCTCTGTCTGCTCTTTGCCCTGCCAGACTTCATCTTCCTGTCAGCCCACCATGACGAGCGCCTCAACGCCACACACTGCCAGTACAACTTCCCGCAGGTGGGCCGCTCTGCTTTGCGCCTCCTGCAGCTGGTTGCTGGTTTCCTGCTGCCCCTGCTAGTCATGGCCTACTGCTATGCCCGCATCCTGGCTGTGCTGCTGGTCTCCAGGGGTCAGCGGCGGCTGCGAGCCATGCGGCTAGTGGTGGTGGTGGTGGTGGCCTTTGCCCTCTGCTGGACCCCCTACCACCTGGTAGCCCTGGTGGACACCCTCATGGACCTGGGGGCCCTGGCCCGCAACTGTGGCCGAGAAAGTCATGTGGATGTGGCCAAGTCTGTCACCTCAGGCCTGGGCTATATGCACTGCTGCCTCAACCCACTGCTCTATGCCTTTGTGGGGGTCAAGTTCCGTGAGCGTATGTGGATGGTACTTATGCGCCTGGGCTGCCCAGAGCAGAGAGGCCACCAGCGGCAGCCACCATCTTCCCGCAAGGATTCATCCTGGTCTGAGACCACAGAGGCCTCTTACTCAGGCTTGTGAGGCTGGATGAAGGTTCCCCTTTCACTATGCAGCCTGACTTGCCCCCGCACAGCACGCTCCTCCCCCTTTCCTGTAGCCTTCCCGTTCACACTGCTGGGATTGCCCTGCAGCCCCAGTTGGGCCTCCCAGGGAGCCTCACTCTCCCGCCTCTGAGGGCTGTGCCATTGCTGCTCCTTAACTGCCAAGCCCTCAGTGACAGCCTGTCCCTTCAGAGGTGACTGCCTTCAGGCCCTTATTACCTTGGCTGCCTGGAGTGCCACCACCCTTCTAGTTTGGTAATTAAACCTTGGCCTTCCCTGCATACAGGGAGCATGAGGCAAACAGCTTAGTGGAAGCTGCCCAGTGGCCCAAGCCTCCAGCTCAGCTGTGATTGTGGTCCACAAGACCTCTGCATTTGCTCATGTTTGTGTCTAAAATTCTGCTTAAAACTTTTCAATAAACAAGATAATCGGGACCAGGGTGTGTAAGTAGTGCATCATTACAACTGGCCCTGACCAGGCTCCAGGGATGTACTTCCTGCTCCTCCTTGCCCAGCCCTGGGTCAGCCCCAGCCAGTGCTGCCTGTGTTCACATCTGTTTCTAGCCTCTTCTTTGCCCTCCTGGGCACTCTTGTCATCACAGGAAAGCACCCAGGTGTATGGGTGGGGGATAAGCAGTTAATTGACTGGCTGGACATGGTCTAGGCATAAAATTTGGGAAGAAGGCCTTCAGACATGAATAAGACACAGTCCATGCACTCCAGAAGCTCAGGCCAGCAGGGCAGATGTGGAGAGGAGCAATGATACCAAGCAGTCTATGGGATGAGGCAAATGTGGGACACATACAGTGAGCCTGGGGCCCAGAACCCTCTGGCTGGAGCCACTGGGAAGGCTTCATTATGATAGACATGAGCAGACCTTGAAGGACAAGAAGTATTTCCAAGGGCAAAGAGAAGGAAAGAACAATTCCCAGGCAGAAGGGAGTATAGTAGCAAAGGTAGGAAGGCTGAAAAGAGTGATGCTTAGTGGAGGAATTGTAAGTGATTCCCAACTAGCTAGAATTAAGGGTTCAGGTTAAAGAAGGGTTGAAAATAAGACTGAAAGTTAGTTTGGGGTCAGGTGATGGTATCAGACAGACTAGTTACAAGGCTGTTGTGGTTATTCAGGTGAGAGGGGAGGCAGGCTCTTCCTCAATAAATGGCAGTGAGACTGAAGAAAAGCAACAAGATTGGATGACTTGCCGAGTCATTAGCACACAGGCCACCTGGAGGCATAGGCAGGCCATAGGGAGCATTTTCCCATGGCTAAAGCTGAGGTGGAAGTTAGTGGAGGAAATGACCAGGGCTTCCCAGAGGGGCAGGTGACAGGGCTACTGAGTGAAGGCAGAGGACAGACCTGCCCTTCGCAGGAGTGGAACCACTATAGTCAGTTCCCCCAGTAAAGTCATCAACATGCCATGATCCAGTTTCACAGGACAGCTGGGCCTTTACTGAGACTGTAGTTAAGGCTGGTGGTGGGGCTGGTGAGGAGGGACCCCAGGGGTTTAGCTAGAGAAGTTCGTGTACTATCCTGTGCACATACCCAACCCCTTTGGCTTGTGATTAGGCTTCAGTTTGTGGCCACTAAAGAAACACTCAAGCATCTGCAAAATGAAGGACAGACAGAAGGAAAATGGCAGAATAACACATCCTGTTATAATAAAGTATCAGTGATGCTAGACTAGTACAGATGTTTGTGGCAGACTGAGTAACAGGTCCCCAAAGATGTCCACTCCCTAATCTTCCTTCAGGACTTGTGAATCTGTTATTTTATGTGGCGATAGGGAACTGAAGTTGCCAATCTTATGATTTTAAAATAAGAATGTTCTCTTGGATTATCCAGGTGGGCCCAAAGTGTGATCACAAGGGTCCTTAGAAGTGCAAGAGGGAAGCAGAGGTAGAGAGTCAGAGAAACAGATGTTGCCAGCTGAGGATGGAAGACGGTGGCCTTTACAAGCTGCAAGACAAGGCAACAGATTCTCCCCAAGGGCCTGCAGAGAGGAACGCAGCCCTGCCCACACCTTCATTTCAGCCCAGTGAGGTCCATGCCAGACTTCTGACCTCCAGAGCTGTAAGAAAAGACCTTTGTACTGTTTTAAGTCGCTAACTTTCTGGTAATTTGTTATGGCAGCAATAGGCAATGAATACAAGGATCCCAGTAAACATCCTGGGTATCTCCCAGAAGTGGGGAGGCTGCTTAAGTGTTTATTGGGCAGTTACAAAAATAAGAAACTCAGAACAGAGAGTGCTCTTCCAGACACATCCTGGAGAGCTTCAGATGCCCGGGATCTTGGACAAAAGATCTGAGGATCTGTTCAACTCTAGGTACAGGGTGTTGATGAAAAGACTTTGCTAACAAGTAAAATTGCAGAAAACATTTTTTTTCATGAACAATTACATTGGTTCAAATGGCTTCATTCAGTGTCTAGAGCAGTTAAATTCATGAAACATGTGTGCCTTTTATTTCTAAAAACAGACTTTGCTAACAAATGGATTGCAGGAAATACCTTCCTGAAATTTTTATTTCAACAGTTACGTTGCTCAGATGGCTTCGTTCAATGTCTAGAACAAACAATTTATTTCATCCACATTGCTTAGATGGCTTCATTTTATGTCTAGAGCAAGTAAATTCATGAAACGTGCTTCTCCTATTTCTACGAACAGCCTTTGCTAACAAGTGAATTGTGGAAAATATCTTACTAAAATTTTTATTTCATGAAAAGTAACATTGCTCAGATAACTTCGTTTTATGTGTAGAGCAACTAAATTCATGAAATATGCTTATCTTTTATTTCTAGGTAGGTATGACAAGGTTGTATCTGCCAGTGGCCCTGGTTTTGAAGCATTGCCTTTAAAACTTGTTCTCTTTCCAACACTATTATCATTCTTGCAAACTGCCACTCTCAAAAATGCATTTCTCTTTTGCATTCTTTTCTACATGTTAACAACCACAGCACCTAAATAAGACCCAAGGTGTATCCAAAGGGCCTCTGAGTACTATCAAGGGCAAACAATGGTTAGCAATAGGAAACTTGGGTTAAGAATAATTATTACTAACAACACGAAGCACCAAAAAAGAACTCAAATTCTAATATTTATCACTTCACAGAAACAAAGATATTTTTCTAAAACTCCTTAAACCAGCGGAGGACCCAGCTCACAGAAATGTCCTCTCAGATAACCTCAACGACCTTCTTTTTGTTTAAGGGCATAATCTTTGCTCAGAGTTCTCATCACATCCCCATGGCTCACCCCCTTGTTTCCCCACTAAATCAATCTGTAATTCTCCTTCACATACATAGCAAATGGCCTCACATGGGGCACAATGAGGGTTCCATCTTTATGATATGATGGCAACAGAACCAGAGTGGCCTTGCATTTGGCACAGATAAAGCCGTTGGTGTCCAACAACTTAGTGAAGCGGCCAACCCTATGAAGGAAAGAGACACCAATCAGTCACCATACCCTGGCATCTTCTCTGAGCTGCTGGCCCTGGGCTCAGAGCAAGACTTTTTCTGTGGGTTCTCAGAGTGGAGCACTGAGCAGCATTGAGCTGGGCCAGCACAGAGGAGGAGAGAATGGAGAGAGAGGACTTGGACAGGAGTAGAGAGGTTTGACACTCGAAGTCAAAGAGCCATGGACTTACTAATAAAATCACAGAAGAGCCCCTTGGAAGCTGTGGTAAAAACATAGTTGGGAAAAAGTCTAAGAAGTGTCTAACCTGCTTTGGCACTGAGTACATTCATACTGAATCTTGTAGTTAATCTTGTAGCTATGGCAATGGGTGATCCTGGCCAGCTCTGGGTACACCATATTAGATTTTCAGTGCTTCTGTGTCCTTACTTATTTTCTGTCTGGTGGATCTGTCCTTTGGAATGAGTGGTGTTTTGAAGTCTCCTAAAATGAATGCATTGCATTCTATTTCCTCCTTTAATTCTGTTAGTATTTGTTTCACATATGTTGGTGCTCCTGTATTGGGTGCATATATATATTTATAATGGTTATATCCTCTTGTTGGACTGACCCTTTTATCATTATGTAATGTCCTTCTTTATCTCTTGTTACTTTCTTTGTTTTGAAGTCTATTTTGTCTGATACTAGTACTGCAACACTTGCTTTTATCTCCCTACTGTTTGCATGAAATATCTTTTTCCATTGCTTGACTTTTAGTCTGCGTATGTCTTTGGGTTTGAGGTGAGTCTCTTGTAAACAGCATATAGATGGGTCTTGCTTTTTTATCCATTCTATTACTCTATGTCTTTTGATTGGTGCATTGAGTCCATTTACATTTAGGGTGATTATTGAAAGATATGTACTTATTGCCATTGCAGGCTTTAGATTCATGGTTACCAAAAGTTCGAGGGTAGCTCCTTTACTATCTAACTGTCTAACCTCACTCGCTTATTAAGCTATTATAAACACGGTCTAATGATTCTTTATTTATCTCCCTTCTTAGTCTTCCTCCTCCATTCTTTATATGTTAGGTGTTTTATTCTGTGCTCTTTTGTGTTTCCTTTCACTGCTATTTATGAGTAGTTGATTTTATTTTTTGCCTTTAGTTAGTATTTGGGTGGTCTTCTTTCTTTGGTGTGATTTTATTTTCTCTGGTGACATCTATTTTGCCTTAGAAGTGCTTCCATCTAGAGCAGTCCCTTTAAAATATCCTGTAGAGGTGGTTTGTGGGAGGAAAATTCCCTCAAATTTTGCTTGTCTGGGAATTGTTTAAACCCTCCTTCATATTTAAATGCTAGTTGTGCTGGATACAGTATTCTTGGTTCAAGGCCGTTCTGTTTCATTGCATTAAATATATCATGCCATTCTCTTCTGGCCTGTAAGGTTTCCATTTAGAAGTCTGATGATAGCCTGATGGGTTTTCCTTAGTATGTGATCTTTTTTCTCTCTCTAGCTGCCTTTAATACTCTGTCCTTGTCTTTGATCTTTGCCATTTTAATTATTATGTGTCTTGGTGTTGTCTTCTTTGGGTACCTTAGTGTTGAGAGATGAGTGGACTTCCATGGTCTGAGAGACTATTTCCTCCCCCAGTTTGGGGAAGTTTTCAGCAATTATTTCTTCAAAGACACTTTCTATCCCTTTTACTCTCTCTTCTGCTTCTGGTACTCCTATAATGTGAATATCGTTCCATTTGGATTGGTCACACAATTCTCTTAATATTCTTTCCTTCCTGGAGATCCTTTTATTTCTCTCTGCCTCAGCTTCTCTGTGTTTCTGTTCTCTGATTTCTATTCCATTAACAGCCTCTTGCACTTCATCCAGTCTGCTCTTAAGTCCTTCCAGAAATTGTTTTATTTCTATATTCTCCCTCCTAACTTGATCCTTTAGCTCTTGCATATTTCTCTGCAGGTCCATCAGCATGGTTATGACCTTTATTTTGAATTCTTTTTCAGGAAGATTGGTTAAATCTATCTCCCCAGACCCTCTCTTGGGGGTTGTATGGGTAATTCTGGACTGGACCACATTCTTCTGCCTTTTCATGGTGATAGAGGTAGTTGTAGGCAGGTAGCGCATGTGTCAGCTGGGAGAACAAAGTCCTTTCCTGCTTGCTGGTCTCCTTGCCCTTCTCCGCTGCCTGTGTTGGTTACCTGCACCCCTGGAGCAGCCTCTGGATTAATTCCCTAAACTGCCATGGGCGGGGTCACTGTCAGGGTAGCCCAGAGCCCTGCGGGGAGTGTCAGGTGTCCCGGGTGTGCTCTCCTGCGAGAACGACGCCCCTTCGCACCTTGCCCCAGTTTCCTTTGCCTGTATCAGGCAGTAGCGTGGCAGCTGCACGCCAGGAGAAGATTCTGGTCAGTTGCTGTGGGCGTGGCCGCTCCCCAGCTGCTCCGCCACTGCATGTGCCTGCGCAGCTGCTCCCCAGCTGCTCGCTTGCTACAGGCACATGTCTGTCCACTCCCCGGTTACTCCAGTGCTACGTGCATGCACAAGCAGCCACTCCCTGACTGCTCTGCCATTGTGGTGGGGCAGCGCTGGAGGGGGAACGACTGGCAGGCTGTTTATTGCCATGAGTGGCCTCAAGGCTACATTGCCTCCCAGGAGGCTGGAGCGCCCAAAGTTCCCTGGATTCCCAGCTGCTGGCCTGAGTGTGCCAGGATGCTTTCATCCAGCTGTGAGGTCCCTGTCCCTTTAAGACTTTCAAAAAGCATTCGCTTTTCTTTTGTCCCAGGGGTGCTGGCTGTGGGGACCCACTCACAGATTTTACTGTTCTGTTTCCCTAATATCCAGCACACCATGTACTGTGTGTCTGCACTCCCAGTGTGGATTACTAGAGCTGGTTATTTAGCAGTCCTGCACTTCCACTCCCTCCCCGCTCTGACTCCTTTCCTCTCGCCAGGGAGCTGGGGTGGGGAGAGCGCTCGGGTCCCACCGGAACGCAGCTTGTATCTTACCCCCTTCGTGAGATGCTGAGTTCTCTCAGATGTAGATGTAGCCTGGCTGTTGTACTGTATCCTCTAATTTCTTTTTTAGGAATAGTTGTATTTTCAAAAATATATATGGTTTTGGGAGGAGATTTGCACTGCCCTACTCATGCCATCTTGGCTCCTTCTCCCACCATATTAGATTTTCTGGCATGATACTTCCATGTGTCACCATGAGAATCATAGTCACCATCAAGCAGCCAGGCGGCCACATGGCATATTTCATGGATCAAAGTATCCCAGAGTCAGTCTTCTGAAGTATCCCAGAAATTATGTGTACTTAAATCAACCCCCTTCTGGTCTGCTACCCTACCAGCCCTGGATTCTCAACCCCACCAGATCCAAAGCCACATTATGTGAGGATATGCAGGCTGGCACTAGAGTTATCTTCCCAGGATTCAGAAACTGAAATTTCTACCTACTTTGACTCCATTTTGTTAGTGGCAGAGAGCCTTAGGTGAGAAGTCTTTTTGGAGCAGCTCCAATGTGCTCAATTTTTTTTGTGGGATGTTGCTAGAAACACATCCAGCCAAGCCTCGGTTTCCATCCTCCAGGAATATAAGTGGGCAGAGTGGGGAGCAATCACTATGGCCAGGGAACTTGGTCAGGAGGATCTGATCTGGGCCCTTAGCAATTGACTGGATTTGCAATCTTAGGCCATTCTAGGTGTAGTGAAAAACGTCAGCCAATGTTGGGGCTGGGAAGGCATGTGGTATGTTTTGAAAGCCAGTGTGAAGAAAGCCTCATGGAGCACACGGGCAATGAGACACAAGACTAGCCAAGTGGGAGAGAGGCAGCCTATGACAGCCCGAAAGCCAGGCTCCAGGCACTGGCAAGGCCAAGGCTTCTTAGTCGGAGAACAATGCAGTGGTGTGCAGGAGACCAAGTAGAGCAGGGAGTAGAGGGAGGTGATGAGGGCCAAAACCTGGTCGGGGGCAAAGATGGAGAAGGAATAATGACTGGAGAGTCATTATGAAGATTTGGTGACTGGCTAGGGTACCTATAGGGAACCTTGAACCTCACAGTTACTGGGAGAATGGAGATACTGCCCCTCACAACAGACAGCTAGTTGTGGAGAGAAGGTTAGCATAGTAGAAGGAAGGACAAGGTGGATTCTTGGGGATGGGGAGACATCCACTAATCACATCCTTTAAGCAACACACAGTAGGCCTGCCCACCCAAGAATAATGGGTAAAGCTGTGACCGAGGGCGTCAGAGAATACCAGCACCTAAAAAGAACTCATCAAACACTGTGCCTGAGGAAAGAGCACAACAGGAAAGCTCTCATTGCTCCTGCCATCACCTGCAGAGTCGCAGACTTTCAGTGCAATCTGAACCTTAGCATAATGCCCCTTCGTGTACCAATTATTGCAGGTGGTACATAAGCCAGCTGTTCTCAGCATTTTATTATTCCAGACAATATCTATTTTCTCTGGCAGCTAAAAATAAAGAAAAGCAAACAAGAGTGAATCAGAGAGCAGTTCTAAGCAGACCAGAAACTATTAACAGTTTTGCAAATCTAAACATTCTGGAGAAGATAAAAAGCCAAGCTGAAGCTCAGGTAAAGACAATTAACAGGCAACCAGGACACAAGTGAGACTGTTCAGAGTACATGAATGCAGGACTCATCCTTCCTTATATGGAGTCAAAAGTCAGGGGCAGCCAAGGAAAGCAGTCCATGCTTGCTGAGGTAGGAGATGGAAACCTGTGAGTAAGCAGACTGAGGCAAAACTGAAATGCAATTCAGAACACTTAAGGCTCCCTTCATCCATCATCTGCTGTAACACCCCTGTCACTGGGGAGGGCACCAAAGGCTAGGGAACCTTTAGAAAGATCTGAAACCTTTCCCTGTAGAAAGTTTTGTTACCAGAGACAATAAAGTTTGAAAAACCTAATGACCAATGGGTCTCTGCTTCCAGATTCTGCCCAATCCAGTTCATGCCCTGGTGCTACTGACAGATTAATTGCTTTCAGCAGCCTTTCCTTCCTATCATATCACATCCCTGTGCCTATTGATTTCAAGTTCAGCTCCTTCAACCTGATTCCCAAAGCCTTCTGGTACCCAGTCCTATGCTCTCAAACATAATAATAGGTGACATGTATTGCTAACTATGTCCTAGGCCGTGTTCTAGGCCCTTGAGGTGGATTAATTTACCAAGGCCTAACACAATAACTCTATGAAATGGTAGGTAGTATTATTGTCCCCATTTTACAGATGAAGAAACTAAGGCAATGAGAGGTGAAATAACTTGCCCAAGGTCACAGAACTCCTTCTCGTTATTCTTCAGCTATGAACCTCTTTTTCAGCTAGTCAAAGCTCAACACATGCCCTCTCCTGCACCATTGGTGTTTTCTCCACTGACCATCCTTCCAGAACCAGAACAAATTTCACTTCCTCCAGGCAATCCTATATCTTGACTGCTTGGGTTCTTAGTGACTTCTGCCTCTGCCCATCTGTGGTCATAGCCGTCTGGAGCATACATTACAACCCACAAGTATTCTCTAGTTATTTCATGTATGCATGTCTCCATCTGCACTGACACTTCTCCAGGCAGGAAATACATCACACCTCGCAGAACCCAAGAGTCCTGGGCATACAGCAGGAGCTCAGTAAGTGCTTATTCATTAGTTGTACCTTGTTATCAAAGACAGAGTTGTTAAGCAGGGTGTAGATTCTCTCATCCAGTTAATCCTTATTTTGCTTGTAATTCCTTCCAGAATACCATTTTGACTTTTCAAGGCCATGCAAGAAACACCCAGGTATTTTGCACATAACAACCCTGCCGAGGTAAATTCAACTGAGTTTTATACACCTAATAAACAGAAGAAATGCATACATAGAGCTTGTGGCCCAGGAGATTTGGCAACTTGCTGGTCCTTTTTCCTTCCAGCTCCTTCTATGAGGGCATTTCCCAAGGTTGCATTCATAGCCTTTTTCTCTTCACTATTGCACATTTTCAGAGATGTGAAGACCACAGTTTCAATCTCAACAGGAGTGTTCCCACACCTGTATCTGCAGTCTCAGTCTCTCCCCCAAGATCCAGTTGAGTTTAGAATTGCCCAGTGCAAATGCCCAACTGACTAACATGAGTATGTCTCCAGCTAGATGTGCATAATTATCCAACTTCTGTTATCAAAAAGCCGAGGACATTTGAAAAGTCACCTTCTCCCTTGCCCCATATTCAGCTAGGCATGAAGACAGACCACTACACCTCCTCCACATCTTTCCATGCAGCCCCTCCTTCCCACCCCACCACCACCACCCTGGTTCAAGTACAGGGCCTCCCCTTTAGGCCTTGCTCCCACAGCACTGCTCTCATGGTGTTCCTTACCTCTAGACTCTTTCTCTTCCAATCCAACCACAACACACCTCCAGATTAGTTTCCTTAGGCCATGTTCCAACTATGTCCCTCCCTGGCTTTTCACTGACTGTGTGGCCCAGGTCAACTGGGTCCCAACCTCAATTGCCAGCCACCTTTCCACTCTGTCCAAAGTGGGCAACTTGAACGTTCCCTGGACATGAACTGTGATTTCCCACAGTTCACTCATGCCTCAGCCCTACCTATTTTCCCAAGGCCTAGAATGACCACATCTCCACCTCTCCTGTGAGTGACCTTCTGTGTAGCGCTTTATCATTTGTAAAGAACTTTCTCTTGCATTATCATATTTAATCCTCACAACCACCCATCAAGGAAGCAATCACTATTCTTATAATCTCAACTTTGCAGATGAGAAAACTGAAGCTCAGAGCTAAGTGACTGACCCAAAGTCCACTGAGACACTGAATTTTCTGGCCCAAATCTCATGGTGTTCCCACTAGACCAGTATTGCTGCCCCATCTTTCAAGGCCCAGTTCAAATGCACAAAGAACAGTGCTTGGCACATAAAGGACTCACATTTAGAACAACTATTTATTTAAACTGAAGCATTTTTGTCTTGCCTGGAGCAATCCACAAGTCCAAAGAAAGGAGCCCACAAGAGCTGGAAAGATCAAACAGGAACAAACATAGCAGAGTGAGTTTCTGACAGACCAGAACTCCTGAGACTGAGGTTTTTGCCAGGATACTCATCAACCGTTAAGTCACAAAATACGCCCTCTGTGAGGTGGCTGTGAGGTGGCTTGTGTATGTGGGGGGGAGAAGAAACACCAGACAAAGCAAAGGCAGCTAAAGGGAGGGTCTTCACCCCAAAACCGGATATGATTGACTAACATTTCTACCTCAAATTACTTCTGAAAGCAAATTTGCATCAGAAAAGGTGGCAGATGAAAACCAGAATCGTCTGCAGACCTCAGTAGTGAACAAGACCTGTGTGTGGGTGTGTGCGTGGGTGTGTGCTCACATCAAGTAGGCCATGTGGCTTAGCGCACCTTCACCCCAATACCTGAGCCACTTCACTGCAGGCTGAGCATGTCCACATCAGAAGAGCCGATGAGACCCCAAATGGGTACGTCAGACAGCATGACCAGCAAGCAGCCTACACAGGAACAATGCCGAGCACAACAGGAAGCCTACCCACTGGGACAAGAAAGATGTGGCAACAGTGAGGAGTCCAAACAGACTCACCCCCTCCTTGGGATGATGCAGGCCAATGACACCAAAGGACAGCTTCTTACTTCTTTTGTCATATTCTCTAGGCAAAGCAACCTGAGAACTAAGCCAAGACACATGCCCCTATTGGCAGAGTGGCTTACATATGTATCTAGGAAGCCAAAGAAACTCTGCTGAAAAGGAGTCCACCTAAGAGAAAACATGTGGAATTGCTACCAGAGACCTCACCCAGAGAGGAGAGCAGAAACAGAGACAGCCTCTCTGCTCAGGTCCACGTTGCTCTGTCACCACAATGCCTGACACATCATTAGGCCTCTCCCCTTAAGATGCATTTATTGTCCCAATATACAGGTGAAAAACAAATCAACAAACATACAGTCCTTCAAATAGATCCCTTCTCTTGCAGGATAACTCAGAGGTAAGTATGCATTAGTCCTGAATGCAAGTAAAACCAGTCAAGAAAACCATGCTTACTACCTCGTACTACTAAGGGAAAAAAGCGAGAAGTTCCTAGAATCTAAATGAGGAAATATGTTCATTTTTTGCTCTAAGTGGCAACATGTCTTTGGTCTAAATAACCTGGTGTTTTCCATCAATTATGTACAACTTAAAAATAAAGGAACGGCAAGCAATGTAGTTCCTCCTAATGGCTAAGCTTTAGAAATTCGCCAGAATATATGTAAGTCCAGAGAGTAACTGGGTGCATCCAAACCACTAGGAAAACTGGAAGGTGACTTGGACTGCCCTCCTGCAGCCCCAGCAGGGTGGAGCATGTCGGCTGGGCCTTCTTGCCACTGCCTCCCAGTCTGCTTTGGTTTAGTGCTAGCTGGTGGCCACCGGGCTGTATGCACTTCACCTGAAAAACTGTAGCATTGCCTACCCAACATCCTTTATTCTGAGTTTGAGGACAAAGTAAACTCAGAGGACGGACACCTCTTCCTCCTCCCCATGCCCTCCCAACTCAGGGATGGGAACCCTGTCTGCCTCCCATGCCAGCCTCCTTCACCCCCTGGGGACCCCCGAAGGCCCATGGACTCCTTAACGTGTGGCTGTGATGACACTCAGCGCCTGTCCAGCTGAGCATGAGCAGTACATACCCAGGCTTGCATTTTTCCAATTTTGCTGCAGCACGCTTCTCTGAGGGTGCATGCTCTTTTTGTACTCTCCTACCTGCAAACATAATAGTTCATTTATACCTGGCAAAGTGGTGCCATCAAGCAACTGGCAGAAAGGTGAACCCAGGAGAAGCCCCCAGAGCCCAGCCCAGGGCCATGTGTGTCAGTGAACACTTCCATCTGAAGCCCTGAAGCCTGCACACTGCTCCAGCAGCCAGTCAGCACAACAAGCTTTACCACTCTGCCCACAGGCCTGGAGTCACCAGCAGAGTGAAAGGGCGGGATTCAGTCACAGGTACCAGTGGCTAAAGGAGCATGCTGTCAGAGGTTAGGCTGTGGGCAACTGAGGAAAATGCAGCCTGAGGAATCGTCTGGCATCGTTCACACGCTTGCTCTGAGGAGAGCAGCTCATATTCTAGATGACACACAGGTCAAATCTTTTCACCTCTGTCTAGCACCCACACCACTGGTTGCTCTATGGTTGCTCTAGCCAAAGACTCATATATCAGTAGTGTCATTCCTTCATTTATTTAAAAAAATTATTAAACATTCATTATGTGCCAAATAGCAGGCTCGACTCTGGGAGAGACTAAAAGAGGAGTTCACGAGTCCTCCTATCAAGAGATGCAGAAACCTAACACAGTTGTGCAAATGCATTAGTAGAGACAGGGTCTAAGAGCTTTGGGAACCCAGAAGGGAGCAGCAACTCTGGCTCATGGCTTCCTAAAGGAAGTGACAATGGGGCTGGGTGCTAAGGAAAATGGGAACTCCTCAGGATAAGTGCAGGGAGAAAGCACTCCAGATGGATGCAATGGCAAGTACTAAGACATGGGTGTGCTTCTCCCGCTACCAGGAAGACCGTCCCAGGAAGATGGCTGCCTTCCTTGGTCACTAGGAAGTTGCTGAAATGGCCCAGGGTTGGCAGGCAGGATAGGCAGACCCAACAAGGCAGACATATCCTAGGGAAACGGCATGGCAGGCGTGGCTGGCACAAGTGGCAGGCTAGGCATAAGCAGAGGGACAGGCATTCTTGGTTTAATTTACTTACCAGTTGTCACAGTTATACTCTTGGTTTTGTATTTCCTCTTCCTTGGTTGGTCCTCTGCAGGTGCAGGCTTGGCATCAGTTGGCAACTTTTTATCCAAAACATCTGGGTTGGCCTCAGGATCGTTTTCTGGTTGGCCAAAATTTTCACCAAGATCCTGCTCACCACCATCAGATGAACTGTGCTAAGAGGCAGCAGCCTCATCCACCTCTGTTTCATCTTAGGAAATTTGGACCTGACCAGTCAAATCTTCTGTTCTGATCACAGGCCTCACAAAACCATTGCTGTCATCATCATCATAGCTGTCAACAATTATGGGGAACTCCTGGGCGGGCAGCTCCTCGTTAGTGTCAGATAGCACTTCCACAATCTCATCTGGAATTCAAGAGACACCACCTATAAATATTCTCCTTCCACCACAGCCCCTTATATACTCCACTTCAATTACAGAGCAAAAATTAAATAAGTGAAGAACTGTGACAATACGATCACAGTTATGAATCGGTTATTTTAGATTGTTGTCCCGCTATAACTTTTTTTTCTGTATCATTAATGTACAATTACATGAGCAACATCATGGCTACTAGACTCCCCATTATCAAGTCCCCACCACATACACCATTACAGTCACAGTCCATCAGTGTAGGAAGATGCTATAGAATCACTACTTGTCTCCTCTGTGCTGTACTGTCTTCCCCGTGCCCCCCTACATTATATGTGCTTATCATAGTGACCCCTTCCCCCTTCCCCCTCCCTTCCCACCCATCATCCACAGTCCATTTCCCTTTGGTAACTGTTAGTCCCATCTAAGGTTCTGTGAGTCTGCTGCTGTTTTGTTCCTTCAGTTTTTTCTTTATTCTTATACTCCAGAGATGAGTGAAATCGTTTGATACTTGTCTTTTTCCACCTGGCTTATTTCACTGAGCATAATACCCTTTACTTCCATCCATGTTGTTGCAAATAGGATTGTTTTCTTCTTATGGCTGAATAATATTCCATTGTGTATATGTACCACCTCTTCTTTATCCATTCATCTACTCATGGACACTTAGGTTGCTTCCATTTCTTCACTATTGTAAATAATGCTGAGATAAACATAAAGGTGCATATGTCTTTTATTAACTGGGCTGCTGCATTCCTAGGGCAAATTTCTAGGAGTGGAATTCCTGGGTCAAATGGTATTTCTACTTTGAGTTTTTTGAGGAAACGCCATACTGCTTTCCACCATGGTTGAACAAATTTACATTTCCACCTGCAGTGTAGAAGGGTTCCCCTTTCTCCACATTCTCACCAACATTTGTTGTTGTATGTCTTTTGGATGGTGGTAGGCATCCTAACTGGTGTGAGGTGATATCTCATTGTGATTTTAATTTGCATTTCTCTGATGATTAGCAATGTGAACCATCTTTTCATGTGCCTGTTCGCCATCTGAATTTCTTCTTTGGAGAAGTGTCTGTTCAGATCCTCTGCCCATTTTTTAATTAGACCATTTGCTTTTGTTTGTTGAGGTGAATGAGCTCTTTATATATTTTGGATATCAATCCCTTTATTGGATATGTCATTTATGAATATATTCTCCCATACTGCAGGATGCCTTTTTTGTTCTTTTGATGGTGTCCTATGCTGTGCAGAAGCTTTTCAGCTTGATATAGTCCCAATTGTTCATTTTTGCTTTTGTTTCCCTTGCCCAGGGAGATATGTTCATGAAGAAGTCACTCATGTTTATGTCCAAGAGATTTTTGCCTATGTTTTTTTCTCAGAGTTTTATGGTTTCATGACTTACATTCAGGTCTTTGATCCATTTGAATTTGCTTTTGTGTATGGGGTTAGACAAATATCCACTTTCATTCTCTTACATGTAGCTGTCCAGTTTTGCTACCACTAGCTGTTGAAGAGGCTGTCATTTCCCCATTGTATATCCATGGCTCCTTTATCATATATTAATTGACTGTATATGTTTGGGTTATATCTGGACTCTATTCTGTTCCACTGGTCTGTGGGTCTGTTCTTCTGCCAGTGCCAAATTGTCTGCATTACTGTGGCTTTGTAGTAGAGCTTGAAGTTGGGAAAGGAGATCCTCCTTCCTTTATTCTTCCTTCTTAGGATTGCTTTAGCTATTTGGGGCCTTTGTGGTTCCATATGTATTTTAGGATGATTTCTTCAAGTTTGTTGAAGAATGCTGTTGGTATTTTGATAGGGATTACATTGAATCCGTAGATTTCTTTAGGCAGGATGGTCATTTTGACAATATTAATTCTTCCTAGCCAAGAGCATGCGATGAATTTCTATTCATTAGTGTCCTCTTTAATTTCTCTTAAGAGTGTCTTGTAGTTTTCAGGGTATAAGTTTCTCTTCCTTGGTTAGGTTTATTCCTAGGTATTTTATTCTTTTTGATGCAATTGTGAATGGAATTGTTTTTCTGATTTCTCTTTCTGCTAGTTCATTGTTAAGGAAAGCAATAGATTTCTGTGTATTAATTTTGTATCCTGCAACTTTGCTGAATTCAGATATTTATTCCAGTAATTTTGGAGTGGAGTCTTCAGGGTTTTTTATGTACAATATCATGTCATCTGCAAATCATGACAGTTTGACTTCTTCCTCACCAATCCTGATGCCCTTTATTTCTTTGTTTTGTCTGATTGCCATGGCTAGGACCTCCAGTACTGTGTTGAATAAAAGTGGGGAGAGTGGGCATCCTTGTCTTTTTCCCTATCTTAGGGGAAAAGCTTTCAGCTTCTCGCTGTTAAGTATGATGTTGACTGTGGGTTTGTCATATATGGCCTTTATTATGTTGAGGTACTTGCCCTCTATAACCATTTTGTTGAGAGTTTTTATCATGAATGGATGTCGAATTTTGTCAAATGCTTTTTTGGAATCTATGGAGATGATAGTGTGGTTTTTGCCCTTTTTGTTGATGTGGTGGATGAAGTTGATGGATATTCAAATGTTGTACCTTCCTTGCATCCGAGCTGAATCCCACTTGATCATGGTGTATGATCCTCTTGATGTATTTTTTAATTCAGTTTGCTAATATTTTGTTGAGTATTTTTGCATCTATGTTTATCAGGGATATTGGTCTGTTTTTTTTTTCTTTTTTTGTTGGGTCTTTGCCTGGTTTCAGTATAGAGTGATGCTGGCTTTACAGAATGAGTTTGGAAGTATTCCCTCCTCTTCTACTTTTTGGAAAACTTTAAGAAGAATGGGTGTTATGTCTTCTCTAAATGTCTGATGAAATTTAGCAGTGAATCCATCTTGCCCAGGGGTTTTATTCTTGGGTAGTTTTTTGATTACCAATTCAATTTCATTGCTGGTACTTGGTCTGTTTAGATTTTCTGTTTGTTCCTGGGTCAGCCTTAGAAGGTTGTATTTTTCTAGAAAGTTGTCCATTTCTTCTAGGTTATCCTGCTTGTTAGCATATAGATTTTCATAGTATTCTCTAATAGTTCTTTGTATTTCTGTGGGGTCTGTCATGATTTTTCCTTTCTCATTTCTGATTCTGTTTATGTGTGTAGATTCTCTTTTCCTCTTAATAAGTCTTGCTAGGGATTTAACTATTTTGTTTATTTTCTTGAAAAATCAGCTTTTGTTTTCATTGATTCTTTTATTGTTTGATTCTTCTAAATTTTATTTATTTCTGCTCTAATCTTTATTATGTCCCTCCTTCTAGTGACTTTGGGCCTCATTTGTTCTTCTTTTTCTAGTTTCATTAATTGTGAGTTTAGACTGTTCATTTGGAATTGTTCTTTCCTGAGGTAGGCCTGTATTGCAATATACTTCCCTCTTAGCATGGCCTTCGCTGCATTCTACAGATTTTGCGGTGTTGAATTATTGTTGTCATTTGTCTCCATACATTGCTTATTGCTTGTTCTCTGTTTTTATTTGGTCATTGATCCATTGATTATTGAAGAGCATGTTATTAAGCCTCAATGTATTTGTGGGCTTTTCTGTTTTCTTTGTGTATTTCTAGTTTCACACCTTTATGATCTGAGAAGCTGGTTGGTACAATTTCAGTTTCAATCTTTTTGAATTTACTGATGCTCTTTTTGTGGCCTACTATATGATCTATTCTTGAAAATGTTCCATGTGCACCTGAGAAGAACATATATACTGCTGCTTTTGGATGAAGTATTCTGTAGATGTCTATAAGGGCCATCTGTTCTAATATGTTTTTCAGTGCCTCTGTCTCCTTACTTATTTTCTGCCTGGTTGATCTGACCTTTGAGCGAGTGGTGTGTTGAAGTCTCCTAAAATGTATGCATTGCATTCTATTTCCCCTTTTAACTCTGTTAGTATTTGTTTCACATACAGAGGTACTCCTGTGTTGGATGCATATTTTTATGATTATATCCTCTTGTTGGACTGACCCCTTTATCATTATATAGTGTCCTTCTTTGTCTTTTGTGACTTTCTTTATTCTGAAATATATTTTTTCTGATACAAGTACTGCAACTCCTGCTATTTTCCCCCTTTTAGTTGCATGAAATATCTTCTTCCATCCCTTCACTTTCAGTCTGTGTATGTCTTTGGGTTTAACGTGAGTCTCTTGTAGGCAGCATATAGACAGGTCTTCATTTTTATATCCATTCAGTGACTCTATATCTTTTGATTGGTACATTCAGACCATTTACATTTAGGGTGATTATCGATAGGTATGTACTTGTTGCCACTGCAGGCTTTAGATTCGTGGTTACCAAAGATTCAAGGGTAATTCCCTATGTAGCAGTCTAATTTAACTCACTTTGTATGCTATTACAAACACAACTTAAAGGTTCTTTTTTTTTCTCCTTTTTCTTCCTCCTCCATTCTTTATATGTGAAGTATCATGTTCTGTACTCTTTCTCTATCCCTTGGGTAACATTTATTTAACCTTAGGAATACTTACATATATAGCAGTCCCTCCAAAATGCACTGTAGAAATGGTTTGTGGGAGGTAAATTCTCTCAGCTTTTGCTTATCTGAAAATTGTTTATCCCTCCTTCAAATTTAAATGATAACCTTCCTGGGTAGTGTATTCTTGGTTCGAGGTCCCTCTGCTTCATTGCATTACATATATCATGCCACTCCCTCCTGGCCTGTAAGGTTTCTGTTGGAAGTCTGATGATAGCCTGATGGATTTTCCTTTGTATGTGATCTTTTTTCTCTCTCTAGCTGCTTTTAAGAGTCTGTCTTTATCCTTGATCTTTGACATTTTAATTATTATACGCCTTGGTGTCATCTTCCTTGGGTCCCTTGTGTTGGGAGATCTGTGCACCTCCATGGTTCAAGAGACTATCTCCTTCCCTAGATTGGGGAAGTTTTCAGCAATTATCTCCTCAATAACACTTTATATCCCTTTTTCTCTCTTCCTCTTCTGGTACCTCTATAATGCAGATATTGTTCCATTGGGATTGGTCACACAGTTCTCTCAATATTCTTTCATTCTTAGAGATCCATTTTTCTCTCTGTGCCTCAGCTTCTTTGTATTCCTCTTATCTAATTTCTATTCCATTTACTATCTCTTCTACTACATCTAATCTGCTTTTAAATTCCTCCATTCTATGCTTCATTTTATATATGTAATTTCTTAATGATTGATTCTCCATCTTAAATTCATCCCTCAGTTCTTAAATATTTTTCTGTACCTCTATGAACATGTTTATGATTTTTATTTTAAACTCTCTTTCAGGAAGATTGGTGAGTTCAGTTTTGTTTGGCCCTTTTTCTGGGGTTTGTGATATTTTGGTCTGAACCAGGTTCCTTTGACATTTCATAATTCTATGTGGTGCCCTGTAGTGCCCAGAAGCTCAAGGCTCTGGAACTGCTCAGCCTCTACTGTGAGGTTGGGGGTTGTAGGGGAGTGGTGCTGGTGTATGGGGGAAGGGAAGAGCTTTTTCCTGATTCCTGGCTACAATGCCTGTCTCCAGTATCAGAGCCAGTGGGCCGAGCACACAGGTATAAACCTCTGTGCTTGTCATCTCTAGCTGTTGTAGGCAGGGCCTCCCTCTGGCTGGCCTGATGCCAGCACAGTGCCTGGCGGTTTGTTAGCAGGTGCTGGCAGGCCAGGAGGCAGGTGCAGCAGGCTGTGTGTCACAGTGGGGGGCCTCAGAGCTGAGTAGGCAGCCAGGGCGATGGAGCATCTGAAGCTCCACAAAGTTCCCATCCTTCTGGGCAGAGTGCACTCAGACAACCTTGTCCACATATTCCTTCTCCTGCATGGCAAGCTCCATGCAAACTCCACCCCTTCAGCAGCCCTCTTGCTGCTAGGAAGCCTCTCAGACTGTCCACCTTTCCTTTGTCCCAGAGTGGCTGGATGTGGATCCCCGTCCTCCACAAATGACCAGAATCTCAGTCTCTCAAGCACTCCACCTGTCCCAGCTCCCCAAACCCATCAACCTCCAGAGCAGCACACAATGTAGGTTTTTGCTCCAAAGCTGACCTCCAGGGCTGGGTGTTCATCAGTCTTAGGCTTCCAACCCCTTGCTGCTCTGTTTCTCTTCCTCCTGCCAGTGAGCTGAGGTGGGGGAAGGGCTTGGGTCCTGCCAGATCAAGGCTTTGGTACGTTACCCTGTTTCATCAGGTCTGCTCTGTTCATGAGGTCTGTATGCAGTCTGGTGCAGCCTTCTTTCCTGTTGTTGTTTAAGGGCTACTTGTATTAACTATATTTTCACACTGTATGTGGTTTTGGGAGGAATTCTCCGTCTCACCTCTCACATCGCCATCTTGAATCTCTCTGGATATTTGCCATTATGATTCTTATATGTCTTCGTGTTGTCCTCCTTGGGTACCTTGTGTTGGGAGATCTGTGGGCTTCCATTGTCTGAGAGACTATTTCCTTCCCCAGCTTGGGGAATTTTTCAGAATTATTTCTTCAAAGACACTTTCTATCCCTTCTTCTCTCTCTTCCTCTGGTACCCCTATAATGCAAATATTGTTCTGTTTGGATTGGTCATACAGTTCTCTTAATATTCTTTCATTCCTGGAGATCCTTTTATCTCTCTCTGCCTCATCTTCTCTGTATTCCTGTTCTCTGATTTCTATTCCATTAACGGTCTCTTTCACCTCATCCAATCTGCTCAAGTCCTTCTACTGATTGTTTCATTTCTGTTATCTTCCTCTGGACTTCATCCCTTAGCTCTTGCATATTTCTCTGCAGCTCCATCAGCAGGGTTATGACATTTATTTTGAATTATTTTTCAGGAAGATTGGTTACATCTATCTCACCAGGCCCTCTCTCTGGTGTTGAGTGATTTTGTACTGGACCAGGTTCTTCTGGCTTTTCATAGTGATAGAAGGGATCACTGGTAAGTGGCATGTGTGTCAGCTGGGAGAACAAAGTCCCTTCCTGCATGCTGGTTGCCTTGCCCTTCTCCACTGCCTGTGCCAGTTACCCACACACAGGGAGCAGTCTCTGGCTTAATCCCCTGAGTTGCTGTGGGTGGAGTGGCCCTCAGGATAGCCTAGGGCACTGCCAGGTGTTACAGACACATCAGATGTGTTCTCCTGTGAGAACAGCACCCCTTCGTGCCTTCCAGACATTGTGCCAACTTCCTCTGCCTGTTCCAGGCAGCTGCGCATAGGCAGCAGCCTCTGGGTTTGTCCAGGTTAGCTGCACACTGGGAGAAGACTCTGTGTGGTTGCTGTGGGCATGGCTGCTCCCTGGCTGCTCTTCAGCAGTGGCAGGTCAGCCAGTTTGCTTGCAGCGCTGACAGGGGAGAATGAATGGCAGGCTGCTTATTGCCGTGAGGGACTTCAGAGCTGCACTGCCACCCAGGGGGTTAAGGCACCTGAAGTTCCTTAAGATTCCCAGCCTGCTGGGCTGAGTGTGCTGTGACGATTTTGTCCACCTGTTAAACCCTTGTCTTCTTTAAGACTTTTAAAGTGCCAGCTTTTCTTTTGTCTCAGGGGAGCCAGCTGTGGGGACCTACTCGCAGTCTCCATCTCGGATTTTACTTTTCCATTTCTCTAATATCCAGTACACCATGCATTGTGTATCTGTGTTCCCGGTGCAGATTACTAAGGCTGGTTATTTAGCAGTCCTGTGCTTCCACTCCCTCCGTGCTCTGATTCTTCTCCTCCTGCCAGTGAGGTGGGGTGGGGGGAGTGTTCAGGTCCTGCCAGGTCACAGCTTTGTATCTTACCCTTTTTGTGAGATGGTGAGTTCTCACAGATGTCTGTAGATATAGCCTGGCTGTTGTACTATACCTTCTGGTCTCTCTTTTAGGAATAGTTGTATTTGCTGTATTTTCAAAATATATATGGTTTTGGGAGATTTCTGCCGCCCTACTCATGCCGCTATCTTGAGTGCCCCCTCTCTCCCACTATTATTTTTTTATTTTACAGAGAGTAGTGACAAAAAACCAGTCACCCAAGCCCAGTGGAAATTTTCAAACCACATTCTCTAAGTAGCATTGTGTAGGTGCTCAATGGTTCCCAAACACAGGTCTGCAGACTCATGTATTTTCACTGGCCCGCAGACAAATATGAGAAAGTAGAATAATAAAGTGGATTTTTTCCCATCAAGTTCAATTTCTTCATTTAAAGGACTGTCCTTACCTTGAGATTACACTATTACTAAACTTTTGGCACTCTTGATGAAATTATGGTGATAGTAAATGGTGGTGGGATTTTGATTCCATCATTAGACAAATTAAAAATTGGCAACTCTATGTTAGCCATGAAAAGTTAAGTTTCTAACTAGTCCCTCACTGCAGAGCTCTCAGAACAACTGATACAAGGGTGAGGAGTTAAGTCCTAATGTTGATTTACTTTAGCACTGAGAGGCCTTGGGAACATTCAGAATGTCACCACCCTCATTCAAGGGTCCTTTGATCTGGACATGTGGATGGCTTATCTACTGCCACATGCTCTCTGGAGTCTGTGTACAGCTCAGTTCCAGGTTTCTGTGATTCTGCATGTAAAAACTGAAACAACAGTACTGGCAAGATGTGAGAATACATTTATGGTGAAAAAACCCTTCATCCTAAAATTTCAGGTTTGGAGTAATATATTTTGACAGTTTCTTCTATTTGAATCAATTACCAAAGAACTTTAGATACGCAATATGGAAAGAAAAAGGAGTGGGTGTTCCTCTGGTAAAAAAAAATCATCATTACTCGAAAATTGAAAGACTTTCCACCTGCAGTTAAAACTTTTAAAAAAATAGTAGGGACATGAGAGGATTAAAGATGGTGGAGTGAGAGGTGAGACACAGACCTCCTCCTAAAACCACATATAATATGAAAATATAATTAATACAACTAATCCTGAAAGAGCAACAGGAAAGAAGGCTATGCCAGACTACATACACCTGGAGAAAAGAAAAGACCTCACAGAAAAGGGTAACGTACCAAGCCATGACCTGGTGGGACCCAAGCCCTTCCCCCACCCCAGCTCACTGGCAGGAGTAAGAGAAACAGTGGCGAGGGAGTGGAGGCCTGGGACTGCTGAACACCTAGCTCTGAAGATTTGCTCAGGGAGCATGAACCTACATTTTTTTCTCTCTTTTTTTCTTTTTTTCTTTTGGTATCATTAATCTACAATTACATGAAGGACATTATGTTTACTAGACCCCCCCTTCACCAAGTCCCCCCCCCACATACTCCTTCACAGTCACTGTGCATCAGCATAGTAAGATACTGTAGAATCACTACTTGTCTTCTCTGTGTTGCACAGCCCTCCCCGTTCCCCCCACACACACTATGCATGCTAATCGTAATGCCCCCTTTCTTTTTCCCTGCTCTTATCCCTCCCTTCCCACCCATCCTCCCCAGTCCCTTTCCCTTTGGTAACTGTTAATCCATTCTTGGGTTCTGTGATTCTGCTGCTGTTTTGTTCCTTCAGTTTCCCTTTGTTCTTATACTCTACATATAAGTGAAATCATTTGGTACTTGTCTTTCTCTGCCTGGCTTATTTCCCTGAGCATAATACCCTCTAGCTCCATCCATGTTGTTGCAAATGGTAGGATCTGTTTTTTTCTTATGGCTGAGTAATATTCCATTGTGTATATGTACCACATCTCATGAACCTATATTTTATGGTGCTCTGATGATTAGTGGGGTTGGAAAGCTAAAAAAGTTGTAATACCTTAAGAGACTGATATTCCAGCTGCTTGTGGAAAACCGGGATCCATATCTAGCTGCTCTAGTCTGGCAGTCTGAGAGACTTCCTAACAGCAAGAGGGCTGCTAAAGGGACAATGACTGACAAAACTTGTCAGGTACACTCTGCTCAGCAGGTTGGGAACTTTCAGGAGCTTCAGGCACTTCATCCCACTGGCTGGCTATGCAGCTCCAAGACCCCCTACCATGATATGCAGCCTACGGTGCCTTCCTCCCGGCCACCCCACACCTCTCTCACAAACTGGAAATGCCTACACATCATCAGGACAGCCATAGGGAAGCCCCAACTACAAAAGCTCCAAACACAAAGCATAGAGGCTTACACCTGTGTATTCAGCCCACTGCTTCTGGCAGTGCAGATAGGCACAGCATCCAGAAAGCAAGAAACACCTCTTTCCTCCCCCCAGGCAACAGGACCAATTCCCTGCAACCCCCAGCATCACTCCAGGGGCTGACCAGCTCCAGAGAGTAGAGCTTCTGGGCACTAGAGGGCACCACATAAAAATGAATTGTGAAAGGAACCTGGTTCAAACAAAAATCTCACAAACACCAGAAAAAGGATCTGTGAGGCTGAACTAATCAATGTTCCTGAAAGAGATTTCAAAATAAAAATCATGAACATGCTCACAGAGGTACAGAAAACTATTCAAGAACTCAGGAATAAATTCAGGGAGGATACCCAATCATTAAGGAACACAATGGAGGGATTTAAAAGCAGATTAGATACAGTGGAGATGATAAATGAAATGGAAATTAGAGAAGAGGAATACAAAGAAGCTGAGGCACAGAGAGATAAAAGGATCTCTAAAAATGAAAGAATATTGAAAGAACTGTGTGACCAATACAAACTGAATAATATTCATATTATAGGGGTACCAGAAGAAGAAGAGAGAGAAAAAGGGATAGAAAGTATCTTTGAAGAGGTAATTGCTGAAAACATCTCCAATCTGGGGAAGGAGATAGTCTCTCAGGCCATGGACATACACATACCTCCCTACACAAGGGACCCAAGGAAGACAGAATGAAGAGATATAATAATTAAAATCTCAAAGATCAAGGGTAAGGACAGACAACTGAAAGATCCAGAGAGACAAAAAATATCACATACAGAGGAAACCCCATCAGGCTATCATCAGACTTCCCAGCAGAAACCTTACAGGCCAGAAGGGATTGGCATGATATATTTAATGCAAATGAAGCAGAAGGGCCTCAAACCAAGAACATTCTAACGGGCAAGCTTATCATTTAAATTTGAAGGAGGGATTAAATAATTTCCAGATAAACAAAAGCTAATAGAATTTACCTACCACAAACCATCTCTACAGTGCATTTTGGAGGAACTGCTATAGATGAAAGTGTTCCTAAGGCTAAATAGCTGTCACCAGAGGTAATAAAATCAAAATAAAGAAAGTATAACAGTTAATTACTCAGCAAATGCAAAATTAAATCAACTACACCCAAGGTTAGTCAAGGGATAAACAAAGAGTACAGAATGATACCTAATGTATAAAGAATGGAGGAAGAAGAAAAAGGAGGAGAAAAAAAAAGACCTTTAGATTGTGTTTGTATTAGCATACTAAGTGAGTTAAGTTAGACTGTGAGATAGGAAGGAAGTTACCCTTGGACATTTGGTAACCACGAATCTAAAGCCTGCTGTGGCAATAAGTACATACCTATCGATAATCACCCTAAATGTAAATGGTCTGAAGGCACCAATCAAATGACATAGAGTCACTGAATAGATAAAAAACAAGACCCATCTATATGCTGCCTACAAGAGACTCACTTTAAATCCAAAGACATACACAGAATAAAAGAGAAGGGATGGAAAAAGCTATTTCATGCAACTAATAGGGAGAGAAAAGCAGGAGTTGCAGTAGTTGTATGAGACAAAATAGACATCAAAACAAAGAAAATCACAAGGGACAAAGAAGGACATTACATAATGATAAAGGGGTCAATCCAACAAGAGGATATAAACGTTATAAATATCTATGCACCCAACACAGGAGCACCGACATATGTGAAACAAATGCTAACAGAATTAAAAGGGAAAATAGAATGCAATGCATTCATTCTAGGAGACTTCAACCTACCACTCATTCCAAAGGACAGATCAACCAGACAGAAAATAAGTAAGGACACAGAGGCATTGAACAACACATTAGAACACACAGACCTAACAGATATCTACAGAACTCTACACAAAAAAGCAGCAGGATATACATTGTTCTCAAGAGCACACAGAATATTTTCAAGAATAGATCATCTACTAGGCAACAAAAAGAGCCTCCAGAAATTCAAAAAGATTGAAATTATACCAACAGCTTCTCAGACAAAAACAGTATAAAAGAAGAAATAAATTATGTAAAGAACAAAAAGGCCAACAAACACATGGAGGCTTAACAACATGCTCCTAAATAAAAAATGGATCAATGACCAAATAAAAACAGAGATCAAGCAATACATGGAAACAAATGACAACAATAATTCAACACTGCAAAATCTGTGGGATGCAGCGAAGGCTATGTTAAGAGGGATGTATATTGCAATTCAGGCCTGCCTCAGGAAAGAAGAACAATCCCATTTGAACAGTCTAAACTTGCAATTACCGGAATTAGAGAAAGAAGAACAAATGAGACTCAAAGTCAGTAGAAGGAGGACATAATAAAGATTAGAGCAGAAATAAATAAAATTGAGAATAAAACAATAGAAAGAATCAATAAAAGCAGGAGCTGGTTATTTGAGAAAATAAACAAAATAGATAAAACCTAGCCAGCCTCATCAAGAAAAAAAAGACAGTCTACACACACAAACAGAATCAGAAATGAGAAAGGAAAAATCACTACAGAAACCACAAAAATACAATGAATTATTAGAGAATACTATGAAAAATTATATGCTAACAAACTGGATAACCTAGAGGAAATGGACAATTTTTAGAAAAATACAACCTTCCAAGGCTGACCCTGGAAGAAACAGAAAATCTGAAAAGACCAATTACTAGCAAAGAAATTGAATTGGTAATCAAAAAACTATCTAAGAACAAAACACTTGGACCAGATGGCTTCACTGCTGAATTTTATCAAACACTTAGTGAAAAACTAATACCCATCCTTCTTACATTTTTCCAAAAAGCAGAAGAGGAGGGAATTCTTCCAAACTCATTCT